GCCCGCTGCTCCCCTCAGCAGTGTACTTCATCTATCTGCCTGTTCTGCTCCCGGCTCTGTCTCTGGTGAATCCTCTCACCCTCCACATCTCTGGCCTGTACCCCAGTTCTATATGAATAAATAAATAAAATCTTTAAAAAAAAAATACAGTGCCTTTTTAATTTGAAAAATATATCTCACTGGCTTCATATAAACAGGAATTTTAAAATATTTTATATCTACTTGAGATGTCTAGAAATTGTTTGAAATACAATTGGACTTTAGGTTAAATTTCTTAAACACAAAAAACATTTTTGGACTAATCAGGTTATTATTTAGGGTCCTCTTTGAAGTTAGATGTGGTAGACCAGCTTTAAGTAAGAATAATTATCTAAACTGTAAAAATCTGTCTAAATTTATAATCGGCAGTTGTTGGTTCTTTTTAACTGGAATATTGAAGTTAATAGTTTTGGCCCACATTTAAAGGAAGATTAAAATTTGGAAATGCCCCAGAGGAAAGTAATAAAAATAATTACGTACTTAGAAATTGGGCTCTGAAATGACATGCAAGAGGAAATCATTTAAAAAATAAAACCAAAAATAACCTTACATTTTATAGGTTACCATAATCTCTGAAGACTAGGGCAGGAAGCAAATATTTGAATTGTTAGGATACTTTAGTTTAGCCATTAGGACATTAGGAATATTCTGTTATTAAATATGTATTTATTACTTGTCCAATACTATGCCTGTAAGGACTTATAAACAATAGCATGCTTTAGATTTTTTGATACAAAAAATCTTTTAAGTGTTAAAGGTGAGGTACTTCACTTTTCTCAGAAGGGGCTTACTACACAGACTTTAAAGTTTTTATGTTAATGGTTTTTCAAATTTCAGTCATCTTAGAATAATTATATATCCTCAATTTATACTACGACTTTTTGAAAGGGAAATGGATAATCATTAATGAATATAAGAGAGTAAAAAAGGTATTTCATTAGGAGTGAAGAAAACAGGCGTAGAATTTAGTTGTAGGATACATTATAATGCTTGACTATAAGAAGAAAGCAATAATCATTAAGATGTATGTGCATTTTGTGGTGTGTGTTTTCGTATGTGTGTTTGTAACTCTTGGTGTGTTTCACTTTAAGATTTATTTATTTATTTATGCATACAAATAAGGAGTGTAGGCCAGAGTTGGGTGAGTGGGTTCACCAGAGATGGAATGGGGAGCAGAACAGGCGGACTGACTGAAATAGGCTGCTGAAGAGAGCTGTGGGCAAGACAGGAGAGGTCTAGTGTGCCATGTGGGTCAGCTCCCTGGCTGGGGATCCTGCTGAAGTGGCTGCCATTAGCTTCATAGTACTGAGATTTAACCCCTTGTGCCACCAGGAGGCCCCTCTTGGTGTACTTCAAGCTTCTTAAAAAAAAAAAAAAGTACTTTTATAGCCTACTTTTAATAACATACACTTATACAATATAAGTGTTTTTAATAGCAAAACTTTAATTTTAAAGTGTCCAGGAGAAAAAAATAACAGGGTGAATAAGAAATAAGCCTTTAGTCTGAGCCACTGCTCCATTTTCCAAATAAGAGGCAAAAAAAATAACGATAGTAACAACTCCAAATGTGTAACAGGAAAAAAAAAATTGAGCTTAATGCTCCTCAGAAATCTCTTACATGTCTCCTAAAAACAAAACTAAAGGCAAATTTGAAGAAATCCACAGACATAAGATATAATTAGAAAGGTTTTACCTAGTACTACTTTAAAATATTAAAAGTTTTAAAGACTTAATGTTAGGGTTACCATACAACAGGCACTGTTAAAAATACCTTACTGGGGCCCTCCCTGGTGGCGCAGCGGGTTAAAGCACAGCACTGAGAATATAAAGCCGCTTCCGCATGAGTTCGATTCCCGCCTGCCCCGGAGGTGACCACATGGCGTGGCAGACCTCTCCTGACCCGCCCGCTGCTCCCCTCAGCAGTGTACTTCGTCGATCTGCCTGTTCTATTCCCCACTCTGTCTCTGGTGAAGCCTCTCACTGCCCCTGAGCTTCTGGCCTGTACCCCAGTTCTGTATGCACAAATAAATAAATCTTTAAAAAAAAAAAATACCTTACTGAGAGTAATTCACAAAATCCTCATAAATCTATTAATAACAACCACTATTAACCATATTTTCTATATGAGACCTAAGGCACAGAGATCACACTAGTCCAATACGACATAACTCATTAAAAAAATTTAGCACAGAACACTGGACTTAGTTATATAAATGGATAGTTATTATTTTTACTATCCTCTCACGTCTGTATTACTGGAATTGTACCCTGACTTCCCATGTTACTGCTCCTCTCCAATCTCTGCCCATAATGTGACTAGAGAGACGTAATAAATAAATGCAAATCTGATCACATACACTTCTATCTTCCTGAAAGCCCTTTAATAGTTCGATAGGACTCTTACAACAGACTCATTTGTTATAATTCTTGCCTTTTAACCCCAAGCCAGTTTAGAAAGGCCAGTTTGAAGATTTTTGTCCAGCATGTCCTTTTTGTGAAACTGAAACTACAGGTTACATACAGTTTCATCCTAGCCATCCTTTAGAACCCAACTGAAGTCACTTCCTCTCTTACTAAGTCTAGTCCCTTTATTTTGCATTCTCATTATACATTTCTTATGTCACAGAACTTCTCATATGAATAACTACTTTTTTTCTTTATTATTTTACATTTATTTGTTTCTTCCAAGAGGCACCTCAGTGTTCCTGATAGTCCTTCCACCCAAGCCTATTCCATTCACCATCTTTTCCAACACAGAAAACAGCAACACCATTCTGTCGGTTGCTTAGGCCCAAACCCTTGAATTCTCTTTCATACACCCCACCAATCAGGAAATTCTATGGCCTTCCCAGAATTCAACCACTCCAATCATGCCATGGATTGTTGCTATACTACATACCACATCTCTGTCCTTTCTTATTCCTAATAACTATTTATAAAGAAGATCCATCCTTTAAATTTACATATATGTGTGTGCATATATATACATATATATATATATATAGAAATCATTGTGTTCCTCTATTCAGAATTTCCAGTAAGCTGCCATCTGACAGTGAATTCTGCACCCCTAAATCCATGTGACTATATTGAAGATAGTACCTTGAAGGTGGTGATTAAATTTTAATGAGGTCATTGCAGTGTAATAAATTTGTTTTATAAGGTACCCAGACTGTTATTTTGTGATGGCAGACCAATTTTATTCCATTCAGAATAAAAAACCAAAGTCTTTTCAACAGTCAAAAGGTTTTAAGACTTGTAACCTGGCCTGCATGTCCAAAGCCCCCAAACGCTCTGCCCTAATAGCCTTTGATTCTCTCCATCCTATTTATACAGCTTCAGTGATACTGTTCAACATGCAATTTCATGAACACCTCAGGCACGTGCTCACTTTTCAGCCTTTGTTTTTCCTCTGCCTAGAATATTTCCTAAACAATTGTATCATTTCCTTCTTCACTCAAATATCACCTTCTCAAGGGGGCCATCCTGTGAAGATTTTTACCCCCTCCATCTCGCACACATTTTCCACCCCCCTTTCCTTAGTACTCACTGCTAGCCAGCTGTATATTTTTCTGATTTATGTTTATTGTCTCTCTCTCCTTCACTACGCTATGGGCTCCACGAGAGAAGGGATTGCGTATTTTGCTCACTGCAATATTCCCAGAATTTAAGTACCTCATAGTAGGTACTTCCAACTCTAGTCACTACCTCAGCTGAAGCTGGTCTTCAGCACTTACCCAGCTGTTTAATTTAATGAACGTTGACTGCCAACAGTTACCAAATGAGCTTTGGAGCTAAAAGGTACCATATACATCAGCCACTAAGACAATGCTCCCCTTGTAGAAACTATTGCTTAAAAGCTCACCTGATTTTTTCCGGTCTTTTCGGGCTTTCTGCTATTTACTAAGGCATAAGCAGGGTTTTAAGAACTGTGATAACGCTATTTAACGCGAAGGATGGGAAGTGGGCCAAGGGGTTCTCCTCCCCCTTTCAACTTTACAACAGAGACCATAAGCAGATGAAAAGTTTTGAAGGTCAAACAAGATCACGTATGACAGTTTTGAAAACTGCCTGGTTGCGCCTTTCTTCACAGTTATTTCCAAACAGTTCTGCAAACTCTGTAGCACTCTGCTTCTAGGAAGCAGAGGAAAGGCTTGCCTTATGCCCCTAAGTAAACATATTACATGCATCAGTAAGAGGCCGATGGTAAAAACCATTCATTATTATGATTTCTCCATGGTGCTGCACAATTTGGGTTAAAAATTGATTCTGCTGGCCCTCCCTGGTGGCGCAGCGGGTTAAAGCACAGCACTGAAAATCTAAAGCCGCTTCTGCATGAGTTCAATTCCCGCCTGCCCCGGAGGTGACCACATGGTGTGGCAGACCTCTCCTGACCCGCCCGCTGCTCCCCTCAGCAGTGGACTTCATCGATCTGCCTGTTCTGCTCCCCACTCTCTCTTTGGTGAAGCCTCTCACCACCCCTGAGCCTCTGGCCTGTACCCCAGTTCTGTATGCACAAATAAATAAATCTTTAAAAAAAAATTGATTCTGCTGCGAAGAAAGTTGCAACAATCACATCCCACTGCATTTTACCAAGGAGAAAATAGGCCCTGTGAAGAAAGAACTACCTGTTTGTATAAAAACTGAGGAATTTTTCGCAACTCGAACCGTGCAGAAATTTCCCAGGTAATTGCGGCTCTCAATGTATTCTTTAAGAGCTGGGCTGCCCATCATTTTTGGAAACGCCTTAAATGAACAGTTGTCTGAAAACAGTAAGGTATCACAACTAATCTCCCTGCTCACCTTCAAACATCCCAGCTTTTAACATAAAGGTGCCTTCAGAAGGGTGGGACCACCCACTGCATCAGGACTGGAATTAATCTGCGGTTATGCAAATCTACCGCGACCAGGCGGGTGACTTTATCGCCTCAGGCGACACTGAGGTAACCAGCCTTCTCCAGGGCTCAGGCCTGGAGTGAGTGCGGGGAGTCGCCGCGGGCCGGAGCCTCAAGCAGGCCTCACGTGAGGTCGCACCTGGCCCAAACTTCTGAAGCACCTGCGGGCGAGACAGGGAAACCCTTGGCATCACCCGCAGGAGGCGGGGGCATCTGCTGCCGCCAACCCGGTCTCGGGTACCACGAGCCTGAGGGGAAGCGGCCCGTAGCCCCGCAGCGTCTCGCGAGATCTCGTCAGCTCAGCCCAAGTACTGCGAGTTCAGAATTAAAAAAAAAAAAAAAAAATCAACACAAAACCCTGAGGACTAGAGGTTATGTCATGGAGGTGCTGCCGAGGTGGCAGCTGCCACGGAAGCATCCGCAATCCGCGAGCGCCAAGCAGGGGCCTGCCGCGCCCAGTCACCAGCCGGGAGCGGTCCCCGGGCTGGTCGGCCCAGACCCGGGCTCTGGGCCAATTGACGCGCAGCCCCAGGGGCGGGGAGAGAAGGAGGCGGCTGGGGGGCCTCGGCTCATCCTCGCCGCAAGGTGGGCGGGGGAAGGAGGCAGAGGAGGGGGAGGAGGGCGACGGAAGGGGAGGTAGCGGCGCGGAGATCTTCCCGGCGTCTACGCCTGCGCCCCGCCGCTGCTCTTGCTGCCCGCCACCCGGCGCTGACGACCGGACGAGAACCTCGCGCGGGCAGCTCTCGCGTGGGGTCGCGCGGGAGCCGGGGAGG